CTGCTTATACTCTGAGCATTTGCCTCTTCTCTCTCTTGTCCTCTCCCCGCCCGACTCTTTTCTGCTCCTCTGTTCACATAGGGCACACTTGCACTAGCCCTGGCTGTAATGATACGACCAGAGTGAGTTAGAAAATAATCAACTCCTTATCTGAATATATCCCCTGGTTCTCTGCCGCCATTCTTCTTCTGTTGTTTCCTGAAATGGTAATTGGCAGAGTTACTATTTTTGTACTCTTGGCTAGGCTACCAGAGAGGCCCGGGACCACTTGCCCGGCTGGGCCAAAAAAAGAAAAGAAGTAATAATACTAATAATTAAAAAAAATACATTTTTTATTTTTTATTTCAAATTTGGTAAGGAATTTCGATGTGACCCTGAGGCAAAAGTTGTCCAGTTTATTTCTCTGCATAAACCACTAGTACCTCTGCCAGTGTTGGGAAATTACAATGTACTGGTCTGTCCCCGGAGAAATCGGTGGTGGGACCCAGGGTCGGCGAGTCCCATAAATCTTAGTGTTCTTTTTCCCGCGCGTGAAAAGAAAAGGAAAAAAAAAAACGTTTCTGTACTGCAATGATGCCGGGCAGGGTAGTCTAGGAGGCCGTGCTCACAGTCGTCCTCTACAATATGCATCCTACAGCAAAGACGGTCACATTCTGAAACTTGTTGTTTTCTTTTTTTAATTTCTCGTTTGTTTGTTATGAGTCCCCTCCCAACGAGGCAGGGCGGAATCCGTGATGTGCCCTGGCTGTGTTTCCTCAGAGGATTGTAACCCCCTGATGTATCCAACCATTTTCACGGCCGAATCCGTGTTTCCGTTTCTTTTTCTTTTTTTTTTCTTCTGTTTCTGGAATCTGACAATCTGATAATCTGAATCCGTGATCTGCTCGGGCTGTGTTCCCTCAGAGGATTGTAACCCTCATCACACTGGCGCTTAGAGGAATGTATCCAGCCATTTTCATGGCCGAATCCGTGTTTCTGTTTTTTTTTTTTTTTTTTTTTGTGTGTGTGTGTTTTTGGAATCTGACAACCTGGCCATGGGGCTGAGATGCCGTCACTGAGGGCACACTCACACTACCACTTCCAAGAATGTATACAACTGCAGTCACGGCCAGAGCATTGTTTCCTTTTCTTTTTTGCGAGTTTCACGGCCGCAACTTTTCTCTTTTTTTTTTCTTTTTTTTTCCTCCCCGTGAGAGTACCATAAAGAAATGGAGTGGGACCCAGGCTCGGCAAACTCGGAGCGCAGTGAAATTCAGGGTCGGCAAAAACAGGCTCGGAGGTACTGGTGGTATAACATAATTCTTTTTCAGATTTTTTTTTTTTTTTTTTTTGTGCTGGGACCGTGTGTTCCTTGCCCGGCTGGGCAGCCCGGGCAAACAAGGTGACCCGGGCGGCCCGGCTGGTAGCCTAGACTCTTGGGGAATTTTATGCTGTGCCTTCCCTTCTCCTCCCCCCCTTCCGCCCCCACCCCCTCCGCCCCCCAAAAGGAAAAAATGTGCTTTGTAATGACATTACTTGTTCGTCATGTGGTTGTCTGTGCAGTTGCCTAAACCGAAGCCTCCAACGAAATGGGAGAAGTTTGCGAAGACGAAAGGTGTGTTAAAGACGGGAAAATGGTTCTTGTGTTTTTACGGCTTCTTATATTTTTATTCTTGGGGGTGTGAAACACGGGGGGAAATGGTCCTCGCGTTTTTACGACTTCTTATATTTTGATTATTGGGGCTTTGATTCCCACTGATGGGACAATTGATGACCTTGGTTTGGACCTGTGACTGGACTTTTTTGGTTTTGTTTTGTTCGGTTTGCGAGGAATGAGCCTCGCGGAGCCTTTATCAGACATACAACTGTTCTGGGCTGTGGCCCTTAGCAAGCCTCATTCCCGCCCTAAGTGAAGGCGGGCCTGAATATCCAAGTGAGGCCTGTCCTTGACAATTTTTCCATATGTGGGTACTCAGACAGTTAGCAGCATGCCAGTTGGTTACAGAGCAACGTGAGACTCCAGGCTCTTTCCAGAAGCAAAGGACTCGCGGTACAGTTGAGCCCAGGGCTCAGGCGGTTGCGCCCTGGGCACACGCTGTGCGAGGCCGACCAATCTCAGACTGGTTACGGGCCAATGAGGAAGCACCATTGTCGTCACACATGTGCCGCGAGCCAATGAGAATGCTGCAAAAACTTGGAGGCTGGGTGGCTGCCTCAACGTGCCTAACTGCACGAGGCCCAGTCCATTTTCGGAAACTGAGCCTGGGCGCAGACACTTGGGGCCCAACTGAAGCTACTGGGGCCCCCACACGCCTGTCCAGCACAGCCAGCAGTGAAACGCTTTCCATAAAGGAAAGTGTGAGCCCCTGGGAGGGGCAGTCTGACCTTGACAGGCAATGCGGACACGCTGCTGCGTTGCTGCGTTAGGGTCTGCATGAGCGCTGCGGGTCGGGCATGCGCATGGTCGCTGAGGTGAGAGGGGCGCTGCGAGGCAGCGGGTGTGCAGCAGCCATAGCCGGACTGCAGGGGCGCAATGCAGGCGATGGTGATGGTGGTCTTTCGGGTAGGAGGCGCATGAGGAGGTGATCAAGGGGCGAAGAGGGGCGGAGAGAGAACGTACCTGGTGTATGCTGGCGGTCGGCATTGGTGTTGATGTCATGTACATTGGTCTTCGACTCCAGTTGCTTGAACGTAGATAGGCTAGATAGCCTGGACGCTGAGTGCCAGACAGTAGGAGCGATATTGGATACAGTGTTGATGTGACCAGGAGTGTCGGCATTGGCACTTGAGTTCTTTGTATTGCTCTTATGTCGATGGAATCATGGTGCTTTGTGCTTGGAACATGACTGTCTGGACTACTTCGTGATTTTGCAACTTGGGTTTCTGTCTATCGCGCTCGCTCATATTCCTTGTCGGTTTTTTTTTTGTAATTCTAATCAGAAAAGAGAGATATAAGGATGAACTTATTCGGACGTCGGTTCCGCTTGTGTAATGCTTCACAGAGAAAGCACAGAAATCTCAGCAAATCAGAACAGTAAGCAGCAATTCTCAGAAAGTT